TGAAACTCCACTCGGGATCGCGGATTTTTCTGCGCTCGACGGAGGTGTGACACTTCTATTTTTCAACAAAAGCGCCGATGAAAACGGGATAACGAATTAACCGGACGGTTTAAAAAGCGTCGCGAGATAAGCCGAGCACGGTGTGCTCGTTTTAGCTTTCACTGTGTCCTCATTGCGTAAACCGGCGAGGGCTCACAAATTGCATCGGGAAGACGGACACTTGAAAATAGACCGAATTTCACGCGATAAGGAACGGCGTGACACTTGGTTGCGATGGGAACGGGGTCAGTAATGCCATGGGGAGCCATCCAGAATAGAGAACAGCTGAAGGTACCACGTGTGCGATGATCAATCATAAGGATTGAGCAGTGGGAAATAATTGTTGTAAATTTCTTGCAAACAGATCGTGGAACCTTGTCCATTTAAGCGTATCAAAATTTAAAAAAATCATCGACACTTGATATGTGAATACCTGAATCGATAAACTTTGACTCGTTTCTTGGAATCATCTTTATAAAGTTGCACCAATCATTTTGCTGTCTACTCAACAGAAGCACAATTGTGATTTTCTTACTAAAGTATATTCATACTCTTCGTTTTATTTAAACATGATAAGAAGTCGTCCTATCTTTCATTTACCAGGATCTTAATGCATTCGCGAATTTGTCCTTGTTTTCTTCTTTTTTAAACTGCGCTGTCTATTCGACAAAAATACAAGAGCATTCTTGTTGCGACTTGAAGCGATTGTTTTTCTCGCCATGGTATCTTCATGCTCTTTATCTTATTGCCCCGAGTTATAGCATTCTTATGGAAGATATATGTTGTCGTAATATGACAAAATGTGTAATCACAGATAGTTCATAAATTTCCGAGTAATTGCCGTGATTTTGTAGAAGTTTATGAGATGTTTGTGCGTGCAACGGTAGCGTACGTGTTCATGTTTGATAGATCGCGAGTGGAAGGTCCAATCCGAAGGAGATAAACAATGGACGGCCGCGTAGAGCTGCTGTCATAACAGGAAGCATAGCTGAACGAGTGACGCACCGAAAGTTGCTCGGAGGCATTAGCACGGCGTTAAGGAATTAATGCTGCCCAGCGAGCACAACGCGAAACAAAAAGGAAAGTAGCTGAAAGCGTGAACTCAATTGGATAACGGCTGGATATACGCGACTCTTACGTGAAGCACGCCGACGCGCGTGTGGTGCAACGTGTTACTCGGTCTACACGGGACTCGTTGCTATTTCAGTACCTGGGAGGAACAGGTCGAACCTATTGAATCGGGACAACAGAACTGGAACTGTCCGAACGTCACTGGAGTATGCGGCGAATTTGTCCCGCTAGGCCAATTTTACAGTTGTAGACTAATTTTACAGTTGTCGACTAATTCTACGGTTGCAGACCAATTTTATGTTCATAAATCAATTCGCCTTTTCTAGACCAATTCTACTTTCATAAATCACTTCATCCTTGCTCTACAACCTCTATCTTTCTCGCCCAAGTCTAATTTTATAGATCAATTTTATCTTCGCAGACCAATTCTATATTATATACTGCTAAAACAAAATGATAGCATAGATTTTTGGATAAAAATTGGCCAACTTTGACTCTGTAAAAAAATTTTCGTAGATGCCGTTTACAGTCGAATGAAATTTGATCCTTCCCCTTTAATTTAAAAAAGAAAACGAAACGTGCCTGCAATTATTTTCCGCAAAGTTACAGCACTTTAGAATAAACCTTGCATTTTGACGATTTTATCGTCCCTCAAAATTGGTCAATTTTTATCCAGAATTTTTCTAGGCTGTAATTTCTTTTGAGCAGTCTTTTTCGAGACCAATTCTATATTTCTAATTTAATTTTACACTCTTAGACTAATTGTACGTTCGTAGAACAAGTCTACTTCCGTGGATCAATTTCTCCGTTCGCAGACCAGTTCTATATTTCTCGACCACTTCTACGTTTGTAGAGCAATTTTATCTGTACAAAACGATTCGATCCTTTTAAGTCAACTTTACTTTCGTAGATCAATTCCGCGTTTACAGGCCATTATACGGTCATGCGTTATAATTCGCGTTCATTCAGTGTATCGCACGGCTGTGATTGCGTTACTTAAGACGAGTTTAGGTCCGAACGATAAGCGTCGATGCTCTCAACTCTTCTTTACATACGATATAATACTGTTTCGTAACAGTTGCGAGCAGATATTTGAATATCTGAGCTTTCATGGAAGGTGTGATAAGAATCGCGATACGGAATACTCAAGTGTAATTTGAATTTGTTCTCGCCTACAACACTGTTGTGACTGGAACTAACAGACAGGAAAACTTAACCCATTTCGGAGAGAGCATACTAACCCAGTCTTCATAGAGAATGCTTAATTAAATCTCAAGAAATACCAGCTACCAGATCTAATTGTTACGGCTTCCAGATTCTACTTGAAAAGACAGCGCACACTGCGAAACGAGAGAATGCAGAAATTGCACTCAACTGTATTTTAACTCTTTCGAATTTCGCAAATTCCACTAGAACTTGTGACCACGTTAAATCTTGTATCTCCACTATTTCACATCTCGTACCTTAATCGCGTGTAGCATCTCACAATCGCGAAGCAATGAAACCAACGAAACATGCTTTATAGACTCGAATTTTTTTCGTTTTTATCAGAAGTTAACAGGTCAGTTTATCAATTATACAAAGCGATACGAAAAAGCGACTCCACACGAAAGAAAATCATGACTGGCTGGGTCGACGAGGAGAGCAGGAAGCAAAGTAAAAGTCCTCTTTCCGATTCGCGACGTGTGCTTCGCGAACTTGGTGTTGCCGGGCGGGCCACCGTGTTACAATTACACGCTCGCTGCATGACGGTGGCACGCAAACTTCTTTTTCAGCCAGCATTGAACGAAATCACGTCGATCCGCGAACACGGCCAGAAAAATCTCGCTCCGAGAAACGATATTACAGCAGTGGTGCTCGCAACGGTAGCGTAACGACACCTGTTACACCCCAGGGATCGTTCTTCTTACGTCACGAAAAGCTGATTGCCTGTCTCGCGAAACCGAACCACGTTCATTTAAGACTGACGTTTCCGAGGCCAATGGGGCAAACCTAAAACTGGATATTCGAGCAAACGTCTTGCTAAGATTATTCGTAGTTATCGTGGAACCTCGGTTATGTGAACTGGTCGAGGAAATGCGACTGTCCGAATAAGAGAAGAGAAACTATAAATGCTACTCTTACTACTTCTACTGTTACACTTGCTAACGTTACTACACTTACAGTGCTAGATCTAATCTTTCCTGATAGTTACAGATTAGATATTAAATTTATTTATATATTTATTTGATGATCGCAAAACGGGACAGCTATTTGTTACATAAGAAACAGATGTGAAATTTTAAAAGAATTAGCAGATTTAGACTAGGTGCCAGTACTAAAAACTGCAACTAAAATGGTCAAAATATTAAGATTAATCGTGAAAGGCAACGATAATAGAGCTTTTAAATAAGATGAAAGAACTATTATAAAAGTCTGTGTCGCGAAAAAGGTTACAGTACATAATTAAGCGATTTAAACCATTGAAACGACCGCAGAGAGTGCGACGGAATTCGGGAAGTCCGAGAGGACCCAGCAATTCCAGCAATTGATCTATTCATACGCGACAAGGTAATTCGGATAAAGATTCGGATAAGCAAGATTTGATACAAGAGATTCGGTCGCACGATCGTTGGATTCTAAAAAAAGATCGACTTTGCGTCAGTTATGCACCCGGTCTGGTCTAAACTACATCAGTAGAAAAGGCGAGCAATGGAGAGACACGTTAGGCAGGTTTTACATGCGTTAGCATTAGACCTTCCTGACACGATTAAACAGGAGCTACTGGATCGATCAACTTGAAATTTTAACTGTAACACAGGGAACAATCCTATGATCGTTTGATATACCAAGGGGCAAATTTGGTTGAAACAATCAGGGACGAAGGAGAATTTAATCGACGGTGCTTTAATGTTAGACTATTGACCACTAATTTTTGCACATCTAGCTGGCACCACGGAAAAGAAAGTACACCCGTTCCTCAATTTACGCGGTAGATTATAACTAGACCGCGAATTTTGTGCATTTATAAAAAAAAGAAAACAAATCAACTGTAAAATAGCTAAAACATTTGAGCAGTCGTTCGAAAATATTATTGTATTATCCTGCAACTTATTCAAATCGTTAACGAAAGATATAAATGTCTACGTAGTTCCTGTAGCTTGCACTTAACGAAGACAATTTTTATTTTGCATGAAGATCCGCTGTCTAATTACGACGCTATTTAATATTACAACGTTATTACAACGTTATTGAATAAGGAAATACATTCAATAGTTTTTAATGAAAGCAGCTTTACGATCTCAGTAATTATAAAACCGATGATTTGACCGGCAGTGGTAGATTTAGTGTTAACAATGACAATAAAGTCGAACATCCAAATATTTCAAGCGACGAAGATGACGAGTCCGTGCCATTTTCAATCGCGTAAAACATATCCACGTGGAACGGAAATTCGCGTAAATTGAGGGGCGGGGGCCAATTAATTTGAAATTTTCACGGTACTCTTGGGGGGTAACCCCATCGTCGTTATATCTACGAAAGAACGAACTGAATTGTCCAAATGAAGGACAAACGGAAGTTGGAAAATTCGCCAGAAAAATGCGAGAAGCCATGTTCTCGGCGGGCTCGCGAACGGAAGAAAGAAAGGCGCTGGCACGGGGATCGGTGTTTCGACGGACGGAATCGCGGCCCGGCCCGGCCCGACTTCCTCCTTTCCAGCTAAGGGGAACTGGCCGTGCACGTCGGCCACCACCGGTTGGAAATGGCTCCACCTTTCGGAACGGGCGTCCTTGAGGGGCCCGGTGCACTGGGAAAGGTGATGAAAACCGGCCAGTCACGTGTACCATGCCGGCGCGAGCGGCTGTTCGCCAGCTTCGGCCTGCTATGACACGTTCTGCCGGTTTTCTATCGAACGAAGAACGAGCCGTGGTCTCGGCTCGAGTGTCTGCGAATTGGGACGCCGGCTCGGTGGTGTCGGACCCTCCGAGAAGAATCAGCCGCGGTCTCGGCAGCAGCGGGACACGCGACCGGAGCCCTCCTCGTCGACGGCTCGAACAACCGGAAGCGGTCCGCGCCTTCCCTCGTTCGATTTAATTCGCTGGGAAGTGTCTCGAGCGTGTCTGCGAAGTTGAAGCGCGGTTGCAACGATCGAGGTTCGATCGAGATCGACGGATATCACGGAGAAAGTGGCGAACACGTGGGGAAGCGTTCTCCTCGATCGAACTCGTGGTAGTTTCGAGCCGCGCGGCGGATTAAGCATTATCACCGCCGAGAGCATGATTCGGGCAGCCGTCGGCGCGATTAGGCCGCCGCCGAAGCTACTACTACTATCTCTAGCTACAGGAATTTCTCAATTCCGACACGTCGTCGCTCGTTGATTAAAGCCTCGCGGAAAAGGGAACGCGTCAAAACGATCAAAGACGTACGCCGAGCGATCTATATATCGGTGCGTCTTCCGGATCTTCGGTTAAAGCGTTCTCGTCCGGTGAGGAAGAGCGTCGCGAAAAGCTGCCCAAGATTACTGTTATTCGAAGACAACCGTAGCGAAACACCGGAGAACGATTATCGCCGCGCAGGCTCGTGGGTGGCTCCGGAAACTAAGAGAAAGGTACTCTTTTCCAGCCGAGTGCTCTGTTATCAAGGTGTCTGATAGATTCAGCTGATTTTTCTCGTGCTAGTAGGATTGCTAGCCGGAACGAAGAATGATTTCGACATACGAACATAATTGGATGGAACTCTCGTAAGCGTGATCTTGAGCGAGATCGTTTGGAACAAGTACCTTTCCGCCGTTGTGCATTGTGTGTGTTCAGTGATTTGTTCCCGGAAAATTGGAACTCGAAGCTCTCCGTTCGTGAGAGTTGATCGAATTCGCAAGGAACAACGATCTATGGTAAGAACCGATACTCCGTTGTTCGATCTCGCGGTTACACCTCGAAAGGATCTGCTGATATTCGCACGACATCGGTTGGTCCATTGATGCGAATTCATTGATGTAGTCTATCGTCACAATTTGAAGATCTTGATACTTCTTTGGAGAAAGCGCGTCATTGAATTTACGAATGAGCAACCACAATCGTTGATCGAATGCTCTTCGTTCATTAATTACTCCTTGTTCGATTGCACCGTTCTGCCACCAACGATGAATTTGTTGACATTAATTCTGAACGTGCCAGAACTTATTGTTATCAAATTGAAATCGTTCAGCGATCGGACCGAAGCTTGAAGAACGTGAAAGCATGCTTGAAGTACAAGTTTTGAACCTCGAAATACAGACTACAAAAAGCGCTGTCTCGATGACAAATCCTGAACAAGCCTTAGTTTGTCGTCGAGTAAAGTTCGCTAGTAAAAATTAGGTTGCGGTTCTGCATGCGAGTGGTCGTTGCTTCCGCGAGACAATCGACTGCATCGCCAGGCGACTGCATAAACGCGAGCTTCGGGTTTGTTTCTCGGTTGCAAGTCATTACTCGCGACTCGCTGGTACTCCAGTGACCCGTGAATGTTTGTCGACCGTTCACCGATCTGTTCACGAGGGAAAGGCGTGGCCCCCTCCGGACCCACATTCTCGTATTATTGCGACCCGAGTCAATGGAATCGGCGAATTCGCGAAATTCGTGGACTAGATCCGCCGTTCCCCTAGAACGCGACCGAAAACAATTTCAGAATGTGCTTGTTTCCCAACCACGCCGTTCTAGCATTCTCGTTTTCTTTCAATACCATTATTACATGACACATCCACGAAGACATTGTCCCGGTAACCCCGGGTCTATCTACCATTGCGAAAGAACCGTAAATGTTCATGCGAAATCAACGTATATTCCCTTTCTTGATAGATACGGCATTCGACATGTTCGTTCTTATCATTAACGCATAAATTCTGCAGTCTAATTATGATAATACGAAGCACTGTACGTGCAACTGCCTGTCGCATCGTCGACCACAATCAATGCCTCGAAGTTAATAAGAACACAACGATCTCCAAATCTTCCAGCATTTATCGTCGCTAACAACATGTATAAAGTCGATTCTATGTGTATCTGGCAACAGCACTTCAATTTTCATACACGGAGATTCACAGTTTATTTGAACGAGAACCTCATTCTCTCTGGAATAAAATGAACCTTTTACTAAAGTAATGATACTCGTCCTTCGAATTCCAATGTTAGCAAATCAGTCCGTTAAAATGACTGCGTACGTAATAGATGAAATAAAATAAGATCGAATCACCCACGAATGAAGCTTGCTGAAGAAACGATGACAGCTTAGATTTCGCAAAGCGTCGGAAGAAACAGCTTCTGCCTCTTGTCGAACAGAGAAAGCAAAGGAGTTACGCGAAGCGGAAACACCATCGCATATCATAGCTCTCTTTTCCGTTGGTGGGACCGTGTTTCCTGGCGAATCATCTTGAAGGATGAATAGCGTAATTGAATGGTATTATCAAAATTAGCTGCGTGGCGCGCTGACCGTGAACGCAATTCCGATGATTGTGCTCACGAGCCATTCCCGGTACGCATTAGCTGACCCACGGCGGTCTCGCGGAATCATTGACTCGCCTCCGCCGTTCCAAGAAGGCTATGCTCCGAAAGCTTCTCGATCGTTGTAGATCTCGATCTTCTTCGGTGAATGAAAACCGATTCAAGTTCTCCGAACTCTGTTGCAGATGCCGCGGAAAGGGTTTCCGGTGCAGAGGCTGCTCCTGGGCGCAGCGTTGCTGGCCAGCTGTCTGCCGATGATCGTGTCATCGACGTTGCCTAGAGAAAGGCGGCACGTCGAGGGGTCCAGTCATCGTCCAGACAGAGCGTACGGGCTCGGGAGCCGCGGATTCAAGTCGTCGACCAGGAGGGAGAACGAGATCACCACCGAACCCGGAAGGAAAGTGTCGCACCGTCTGGTCGGAGGACACCTGAGAGGCGAAGCCGGCCAGGCGAAAGACGACGCGCTCTGGGACGACGGGATTCTGTTGTCCTCGGCTGGGAACGGCAAGGAGGCGAAGCCTAGCCGCAAGGACGACGACGACGACAAGAAAACGCTCTCGCAGCAGGTCAAAGAGGGCAAGTACGGTCTGATACAAAACGAGATCTACGGGAACCGGCCGAAGAGGCCTGGGATCATCAGCTACCTGGGCAACCCGGAGGTGCCGAAGGACACCGTAGAGAATTTAGGCGGTCTAGACGAGGACGAGATCTGGCTGGCGGAGAATCACGTACTGGTGTTGCGAGGCGGGAAATTTCCTGGCCATGAAACCACGACGAGCAATGGGGAGTGGGAGACATGGCCACCGATCGACAATTACAAGGCGCCCAGGAGGCAGGTCAAGATTCCACCGAGGCCCAAGGTACCGCCGCCCTTTCCGGTTCAGCTCACCGACGGCGGCCCGATCCAGATCATCGGACCCAACGGAACCAAGGAGATCGGGAACGGCACCGACGTCGGGAAGGACTCGCTGTTCACGAAGGGATTCCTCTCGGAGGACGGCCCCCTCTTCGCCATCATATCTAACGGCACTATCGTGATGCCCAATGCGAACGACACTTCGGGGGAGAATAACAAGGGAACGAAACCGGACTCGATGACCGGTCTGCCGCCATTTTATCACGCGATACCACCTGGCGCGGTGTTCGTGCCTCCTCCGAGCAATCAATCCGACTACGATGAAGAGGATCAGTCGATCTACTATCCCCCGCCCTACAGCTTCCAGTATCAGCAGGACAATGCTACCGCAGTGCCGCCAGGTCCGCTAGTGCCGGGCATTATTCTGCCACCCCCGCCAGACTTCTTCTCTGCTCTCGACGACAAGAAGACCACCACGAAGAAGTACAGCAGGCGACCCGGTACCACTCCGGTGCCGCGACAGAGGCCCACGTATCTGCCGCCTAGGAAGCTCACCTCCAAGTACAAGAGTACTACCAGTGCACCGGTCGCTAAGACGCGGACGTCCGTCACGGTGTCGACCAGCACGAAGACTTACAGAACGACGAAACAGAAGAACGCTACCACACTGGCACCCAGCAGAGTCCCCACTTTGCCGTTCGTGGAAGTCACGACGCCCACGGTGGACAAACCGACGACCCTGGATAACCCTGGGTTCTACAGCGTCGGGCCCATATTGGAGAACCAGGTGACCAATCAGGAGCCTGTTCCGAGGAAGAACGAGGCCTGGTCTGGCGTAGTGACTAGCAAGACGCTTCCTCTGTTGTCCTATTACACCTCGACGCAGTCCACTTTGGAGAAACCGATCGAGGTGACACCAGCTTCGGTAAAGACCATAGTCACCACTGGTAACCCTCAGAGATCATCGAACCAGGCGTCCTACTACTTTTACGAAGAGTCTAATGAGCCCACCGCGACCACTCCGGATCCAGCGGTTTATTTCAAGACTACCACAGAGACGCCTTTCTACGAGGACGTGGTGACACAGCCTCGTCCAGTGGAGAAGAAGAAGCAGTTCTACAGCGTGGAGACTATCCCGTCGCAAGAGACCTCGAAGGACTACAATGTGAAATACATCGACTCGGTGGTGAAGAACTCGGAGCCGGTTCGTTACAGCGATTCCGTGACACGGACGTCGACTACCAGGCCGCAGGGTCAGCGGATGATACCTGATCGCGCGTCGCTTTACTATCAGGCGATATCCTCTCGGCCTGTGCAGTCGTATTACACGACGCCAAGGCCGCAGACGTACTACAGGCAGGACAAGCCGAAGCCGATCTACCAGTACAGCTTCGAGGCTGCGGACTACTCGAAGAGAGGCAGCCAGCGGCAGTTCGAACAGCAACAGCACACCGTGCCTTATAACGAGTATAGGGACGTGAAGATCTTCGACGGACCTAGGTACGATTACCCGCAGAACGAGCCTACGAAGCAGCTGAGGCCGCAGAGTCTGCCCTTCAAGAATCAATCGCCTATCTACCCCTCGACCACTGCTAACCCTGTCGTGAACACTACACCTAATCCTCACTTGTCGTATTATACTCAGCAAGACGAGAAACTGTTGGACGACGTTACCAAGGAGTACTTTACCATCTTTGGTAAGAAGATCCCTCACAAGGGCATACCCAGCACGACGCCGATTTACTCGAAGACCACTGAGAGACCAGAGTTCAGTGGCTACATCGAGAACAACTATAACACTCCTGAACCGCCAGTGTTCAAGACACCTAATGTGAAAGTGCACTACGGGGACCAGTCGCAAAGGCCTTACTCCCTGAAAGACGACATCCTGGTGAACTTTCGACAGCCTCTGCCTCCCATCAACCCGGACAGCGAGTTCATCGCTGTAGTCGACCAGAGACCACCTAATTACAGGGTACCCAGCAGGGAGAGTCCACCGTTAGCTGCCCTCAGAGCCTACCCTGACCAACAACTGGTGAACCAGGCCAACGGGCCTTCGACGAACTATGTCCCCGTGGTGGAGTCGGCGGAGGAGATCGACGAGTCCTACGGCCAGTTGCCTATCTCTTTAGAGGACGACATCAAAGTGAACTACCGAGACCCCCGGCCGACCATAAATCCCGACGCGGAATTCATCAGTCCCATTCCCGTGCCGGACAACCAGCCGGACAAGCCGAAGGCGTACTTCGCGTACCGATTGCCAGGTGACGGCGGTCACTTTTACTTCCTGACGCCGCAGGCCGTCACGCAAAGGCCAGAAAGGAACGCAGGACACCTTTACCCGAAGTCGAGGGACTCGAGGCTGCTGAGACGTCGACGGCGACCCGACAACGTCTGATCATTCTTTGCCATAGGCGGACGCGGGCTGCCCCGTGGGGCATCGACGAGAGCGGCCTAACCACGCCCACTGAAGCGATTCTACAGAGGCTTTCCGACGCTGCTTGCCCCAGGGGGCAATCCCGAGTGCTCCCAGAGTGGCCATGTCTGCCAAGAGAGCCGGGCAAGGGCTCGAACTGTTTTAGTGTATCGCAGCGATTCGTGTGACGTTGCAAATGGCTGGCGAATACAGTGTTCTTCCCCTTTCCTCCTCCATCGGAGGAGCGTAAGCATTTTATTCGTAGCGTCGCGAGCCTTTTAACATCGCGATTTTATCGTTACCTCGTCGCCTTACTAATCCATCGTGAATCAAGTAAAAGTAGTAGGCGAAAGAGCGTCCCCCCTGTTTCCGAGCATTCGCGCGACGTTACAGAGGAAGTTTTGTATCTTTGTTCCAAGGCGTAACTAACAGCGCACAGGTTTTTGGAAGAGTAAGAAAGCGACGAACAGAAAAGTACAATTATTCGCGTCTTCATTTGCTTCGGGATGTCGCGCGACGCTATGGAGGAAATACTGTATTTCTGTTCTACGATACGATCAACGCTGCACAGGGCTTTTGAGAAATGAAAGAGCAACGATGCTGTATTTCCACGGTGCAGTTGACAGTGCACTTTGAGATAGATCGAAAGCAACGAGCTTTCCAGTCGTAGGACGTTACGGAATATATGTATAGGACTTTTCGAGATTCATTTTTGTACGAGATTGTGGTTCGAGGACAGTTAGGCTTGACGAGCGAGGAACACGGTGGACGCGCGTCCACGGCCGTACCGTTAGGATATTTATTACACGTGTAAATATATATGTAACGACTAGGGTAGATGATTATCAACGCCTTACTTACGGTATAAATGCTTAATTTATATGTTACCCTGATCCCTTCTCTCCTTGCCTCCCGTATCATAGGTGTAACGATACAGACGCGAGATACTCGATTCGCGTGTCGACGATAGCTGCGTGTATGCGCGCGGTTATTAACAGTACTCGCGCATTGTCTGTGATTAATGATCGAGGTAAACATGTACGTGTATGTATATAGTGAATGATTAACGATAGCGGTGAGCCGATCGTAGCTGCGTTTTTCGTACGCCTCTTGCTGGGCGAAGCATGATATCCGATCGAATAAACAGTGTTCTTAACGCTTTACCTACCGACAATTGTTTGACAGTCCTCTCGATATCAATAGCTAGGTCTCTACATTTTAATCGTAGTTCTCAGTATAGCAATGTTGATCGTTCAGAAGCTATATTGAGCTACGTGATCTAATACGATTTCTCTTTAGGTTTACCAGAGATGACATTTTCGTTCAATCATCTCCGACACTATAATCTAATTGTATCTGTTAGAATGATTAGCCGAAGGAAGATCTTTAAGCTCCTTTGAGAATCTAATCAAGACTTCTGGTAGGTAAAGTGTTAGTCGTGAAACTTTCATGGGAAAGATTGGCTCTTTCTCTGCGGGGAACTAAGACGAGAACAACGTGGCTGGTACTGGATTAAAATTGTAATAAATTGACCGGTCAAGGTCAGCAAGGAAGTAAATCGTCGTGAGATTCGGGCACGATGATAAAGAAATAAGTTATTTCTGTGCACTATGCAAGAAGGATATTTCTCATTAATATCTGTATAATAGGATGAAGTTTAATTGATACTTTAATCAATTCCTATTACTTGCCTTGTGTAAGATAGTCAACGATTACCACGGACGTTGCAGAAAAAATCGGAATTATATCGCCACTTATTAAAATTCGAGAATTCTAGTGTAAATATACCGAAGAGTAGAAAACTGTGCGCCGTATTGAACGAGATGTTATTTAATAAACGGTATTGTTACTATACGATTAAAACTAGTTATCCAGAAACTGCGATCGTTTGCATACTAATTGTGACTTCCAATGTAATGGCAAACAATCTCCGAAAGGTCAATTATTTAAACGTGGAAATAAAGTGTACCATAAAATGACCTATTCACGAACCATTGCTACGAATTAAACATGCACAGCAGGTTCGTTAACGACAGCGAGATTGACTAGCTCGCGACAATTCAATAAGTATTACCGATATAATTAATTAACTGATAATTAAACAGTTTCGAAATATCGAGTACAACGCGATTGATTAGTTTTTCGAAAGGAAGGTCACCTTCTTTTTCTGGGTGACGATCATTTAGCAGAAAGTCAAGGTAACGTGCGAAAGATTTCGCAAAAAAGTTAAGGAGGCATATAAATAGAAGTAATTAACCTTGTTGTGAGAGATTACGAAGTGACGAAAAGATACTTCTTACACAATTCTGTCAGAAAATAATCGATCAAACAATTTTTATTGAACGATAAATGCAAGGTGTAATGATAAAGAATACATTAACAGCAAATAGAAATAATCGTTTTTCAAGATACAAAATATGAATATAAAATGAAATTGCAATTGATTATTTCTGAGGCCACGATTTGTATATCAGTTGTGATACGAGTACAATACTGGTTTTTACTTTTACTAGACGCTAATTTTTTTCAGTCGATATGAGTGCGATTTTGATCAACTATTTTCTACCAGGAGTACATTAATAAATCAACAATTCATCATTTGATCAGAAGTTGCAATCAAGAACAGAGACTCACCAGTGTCGATCTCTTGAGCCTGCGTCGGATCAGGTAGAGGATCGTCATGTAGTCGCAGGTAAACCTCTACCGCGCACTTCGCTGCCTTGAAATAAAATGGATGAGCCCGCAGCACATCCTCTAACCTGAGAAGGCCCACGTAGGACCGTAGAGTCATCTTTCTCATGCAGTACGTGTGGAAGTCGAATTGATCCTCTATGATCTCGGAGAAATGCTGAAAACCAACAAAAAAAGACTTAAACAGACTGTTAAGATGGATGCGCTCGACCAATTGATCATCTCTCAACTGACCCTATCAACCTCGTGACATTTCTTCAAGGCCTCCCCAAATTTCCCGAGGCGTTTGTAAGCGTTAGCCGCTTCCGTCTGTATCCACATGCACTGCATCTCGTTCAGGTTCTCCATGGCTAGGACACCTTCCCTGGTGAATTTGCCACACGTCTCCTCCGCCTCTTTGATTAGATTCGCACGTAACATGTACTTGGCACACTTTGAATTAATATAACGATCTGCGGTGTCTAAACCTTGCGCTTCGTCCAGCCATTTGTAAGCTTCTTGAACGTTGCCGGCATGCTGCAGATCGGCAAACGGTTAGCTATTAAATTTTAATCGAAAACCTACTTATGTGTGATTGACAAAAGACTGACCTTATAAATGCGACCTTTGGTAACAAAAAGTTCTATAAGTGTAGGAGTATGTTCTATGGCAGCATCAATTTCGTCCAGTGCTTTCTCTGTGAGTCCGAGATGATCGTAATGTTGTGCTAAATAGTAATATGTCCAAAGCAACGCTGACGCCGGCTCTCGAGGATTATCTTTCTCTTGGTCGCTAAAGTGCTCGTGAGCCTTCAACGCCTCCTTGTACTGCAGTACTAAGGACTGTATAATATCAACTTTCTGCTGATCAATATACAAAGAACGAAGATTTACAAACAGAGGCGGCACGCCTTTATGGAGACCTACGGTATGAATACGGTAGAGGTGAACAACGGTGGACATTGCACCCGGCGAACATTGTGCCTTATGTAAGTATTACGAATGTCAATACCTCTGCGTAAATACCGATCGACTAATGTTTTAAATTCATCCCCTGAGGCGTAGTATAATTGTAAGCGGCGCGGCGCCAGGGCTCGAGGAAACAATTCCTCGTAATCTTGAAGCATAACTAACGTCTCCTCGGGTTTAGCATGTCTTTCAGCCTCTGCTAGCCTAGTGTAATACGTCGTGTTTTCGGGATTTATATCTAAAAGTCCCTTATAAATGTCGGCCGCCTCCTCATATTGTTTCAATTGTAATCTTAATTTACCTAAGGAAAAGACTGGTTAAAATTTCACGAAGAAATATCCCAATAAACGAGAAATTTTTTTTTTTTTGCTAAATGTAACTTACCATATGTTTCTTTCACAGTAACTTTATCACAAATTTGATCACTGTATTTATCAAGATGTTTTAGTGCTTGTTCGCACTCTCCTGATTCTTGGATAACCATATTTTGGTATAACAATAATTCACTGTGTTCGTAATCATAACAAATCTGCACATTTGATGAATATCCCTATTATACACTATCATAAATAACATGTATGTACCTTTGATTATAATCCTAAGCAATTTAGATTTCGAACAACATGCTGTATATTTGAAACATTCACTCTAAACGCGTTTAATCTAATATGCAATGCTGAGATACATACCATTGGGAAATTTCGAAAAGTATCTAAAATCTTTAGAGCCATTTCATAGTCCTTCAGTAGGTGATACGAGATAGCAAAACCAATCCATGATGCACGTTGTGTGGGACGTAACATAAGTAACTGATTTCTTGTGTCCTAAAAAATATATTCATTGAAATTTTGCTGCAGTAGTACTTTGGGACTGGATACAGTTGGGACAATCAAAAAGGTGGATGCTTCAGCATGCACTACTACATAATATACAAAATGAATATGATATTTGTTGAGGGTATTTACTCTATAGCCCTCCAGGTCCCTCATTTGAATTTGAAGTAGCGATAAGTCCCTAAGGATCTGTATATTATCCTTATCCCATTTGAGTGCATTTCTATAACATTTGATGGCCTCGTCGTATTTCTTGTCTGAGCGCTGTAGCAATCCATAAACGTGCCAACAAACATGAGATTGTAAGTCGTTCCTAAGACCACGCCGTACATGATCGTATGCTTCTTCCTTGCGACCTAAGCAGTTCAGAGTGAGACCTTTCATTGCCAAGGTCTCCCCATGTTCGTTAAATTTAGGGTTCGACAGGATTTGCTTAGCAAACTTTAACCCATTCTTATATTGTTTGTGTTCGTAACACCTCTGCAAGAAACACAATACACGTTTCTCAGGATATAAAATGTTTTCATGAATTAAGTGCTGTGTGGTTGTATGAACTGGCATAATCGAGAGTCAAGGGAATAAGACGTGCATCGGATCGCACTTTTATTCGCGACGAGCGCAATTATCGTGCTATTCATGGTTGCCAGTGAGTTTTTCCCAGTTTTTCCGAAGAGTGCTTCATCATTAGAGCATGATGAATACTCCTATTAGCCGGAGAGTGGGGTCCAAAACAGAGTATTTTGATTGCACATTACTCACCAGAATTCGCTTAAACAAGGCATTTTCTTTGGGTGGCAAGGGATTACTGGAGGGCATTTTTGTATAAATACAAAAATATAGGGCCTTTTCCACCCGGTAAACTTAATTTTCACCACAAAACCTCGTGGCCACAAACGAAGAACTCAATCCTCGATCACGTGATCATCTGCGACAATGCTGTTCCGCCGGAAGTTCTAAATCCACGGTGCCGCAAACTTAAATAATACAACTTCTGAGTAATCGCGAGTTTGTTTAGTACAACGAATATTTCCTTTGCAAATCTCTGTCGTTTATATTGCGCTCTTCTCGATGCGTTCGATGATTTTACGGTTTTCGGAAATGCATGGAGCACGCGTTTACAAGTGATGATAACTAACAAAACGTTAGGACTGTTTCTATGGAATGAAGGAACTGCACGAAACAACATTTCGTGAATTTAATGATCACGAAGCACTAGTACTGTTGAGTGTTTAATTGAAATACGTTTCTTACGAGTGTCGCAGATATATTTTCAACGTGTAAATTCAATGATTCAAATTTAAGGTATCCTAAGTCAGAGAGAAATTGAGAGCGCTCACGCCCAGAGTTTCGATGGCTATTGCATTGTGCTGCACCAAGCGGCAGATAAGATAATTAGTTTGACCACAAATAAGTGTATTCTCCACATGGATCCTAGGTTCATGAATTCAAATATGTATGGAATTACTACTTAAAAATGAGTGATATAGCAGCGTAAATAATTCGCAAAGTGCACTCCTTAAATGTTTAAGATAAACTGTGTTAATGTTATAAAGGTGAAGTCTCTCTTCTCTCTCATACAATCGGAATATATGTTATAAGAGGTTATATACAAATAAATTGGCGAAACAATCGTTTCATGTATAAAACGTATTTCAGATATCGCATTTAAATGCAGTATATTCTTTACACACCAATTCGATAGAAAATTTATTCCAACATGTCGACGATATGCAGGAAATTGTGTTCTTCCATTTTACTCGAACACTTTGGGCCAATTGTTCAAACTGTAGGTGACGATTTAATGAAATTTGGTACGAAACCATTGAATTTACTTCGACATACAACTCATCTTACTTTAGCTAAGGTAAAAATGTATGCACTATAGTCTGTTTGGAAAAAAAGTAGCAATTAATGAAACTGTTCCTCAATAATATTCTTCACAATAGGATACTGTGATCGTATGCACTTCTCTTTTTAGATAAAAGAGGCATTATGTGTTTTAATTAGGTATGATATAGTTGTACCTAGACAAACTGAAAGAGGAATGGAATATTCATTAATTTATGAAAGGATCATAATCATTCTTAGGTACTCAAGGTAATGACATTTTATAATTTATATTATAACTGTACCCTGCAAAATAATGTGTGTATGCATTAGCTATTTTATTTTGAATAGGTATATGTTTTTTACAAAAACAGTGTGTGGGGATGAAGCAGAAATGATGTTAGAAGAAGTATTAAAAAATGGATATATTACTGCTTCTGAAATAGTGGTGAGAACATACAGAAGGATTGAACAATCATCTTGTATGTAAACTTGACTTTCTAGTACCACTAAAAATAAATTCATGAAACTTTCTCATTCATTCTATTTATACAACAATTAATTTTTAGCTGACTCACAAGTCTCGATCCCACTATTGAAAGATAAATTGGAATTGCTAATCAAAAATCAGTTCCTGATACGTAGTTTATATGCCGAATTGCCTGAGGAAGCAGCTATGGAGAAACCAGATTTTAATTTGCCAAATCTTAATTTACCCGCAATCAGTAAACAACTTGAGGGTGGTAATGAAGATGCTGGGGACAGTAAAATATATTGGAAAGTAAATATCGATCGTTTTACCCAGGACTTTAGGTAAGAATAACAAGAATCTCAATAAACACAAGACATGTAAGGAACTCGCAATATAATCTATAGGGATCAAATTATTATATCAGCTATGCGCAACAGACTGGATGAAAATGCAGCAGAGTTAATGAGGCAACTGCTTTTTCTTATGTATTTGCGTACAGCTTCATGGGCAGACACGTCCAACCCAATACCCCTCATAGAGATTAAAGATGCAGTCAGAAAGATTAATTATCCAGTCCTTACTCAGCATCTTGACCAATACTTACGTCTTATTGGTAAGTATCATTGATGCCAATAGATTTTAGAAATTGCTCAGAGTTTATGTAGAATGTTAACTAGTGTTTTACTGCAGAGAAAGACACTAGTCAGTTCCTAAAAAAGGTTGGCCATGCCGGAGGAGGGCAGTACAGCGTTAATATGAAGGAAGCTTTTCATCAGTTAGCATGGGCCACATTAGAAAATGTTGTGATGGAGAGATTTGGTTCAAAAGCAGCCAGAATTTTTAGGTATATTACACAGACTCATTACATTCGTTTTATGTACATTACATTCAGTTTGTTATAGATAAAGCGAATATTTCATATACTCTAGGTTAGTCCGCGATAGGAAATACATCGAGCAAGAACAAATACAGCAATTAGCTATGATTCCAGCAAAAGAAGCTAAGCACTTAACGTATACATTATTACAAGAAAATTACCTGCAGATGCAGGAAATAAAGAAAACCGGTGTATCGGCCGCACCGATGAAAACTTTTTTCTTATTCCACATTGATCTGAATCTAGTCGTTGGCATGGTAGTCGAACATTGTTACCACGCATTGTACAATACCATGCAAAGAAGGGAGTACGAGATAGCGAGTAACAAGCGAATGATAGATAAACAATTACGGATGCAGACTCTAACAAGCAATTTGAAAGAACATGGTGCTACAGAAGAACAACTGGCAGAGGTACATATTCCGTTGCAATTATATCGTAATTATGGTAGGATCGTGCTGTGTTGTGCAATTGATTGCTGATTAGGGTGTTGTAAATAGGAATAATAAAATGAGGATTATATTTGGAAATTTTCGCTTTGTGTTTCTTAATTTTTTCAATTATAATTTATTAATCTTCTTAATTGTAAATTCTTAATTTTTTAAAGTTTGTTGAAGAAAACATTTCAAGGGTAGCACCTTTGCAGAAAAATATTTTTGAAAAATTAATTTTTTTTCTATCTAGATATATATATAACCCCGTAGCAAATAGATCTAATAATCATACCAGGAAATTAATTTTTACACTGTTTTGGAATTTTGTAGATTGCCGAACTTATGACCCCGTCTGAGAAACAACAATTAGAAAAGGTTCAAAGCACGATAAAAAAACTGAGTGTGACCGAGTTGCAGATAGACGACACGCTTTTTCTGTTGACGATGTATCTACGTTATCACTAAATAAAGACGTTGTCAGGAGTTTATTTTTACAAAGAATGGACGCATGATGTTTCATTCATTTATATAGTTATTTATTTATGTATAATAATGGTTACGCTTGTAAAATACAAACAACAAAGAATACCTAACTCTCAAATTATTATAATAAATATAATCATATATCTATGTTTATAATAGTGCTGCTCTTCTATGTGATACAGTGCATTTGATGTCGCTATCTATGAGGGAAAATGATCTTGGTAGATGCACGCGCACACCGCCAGAGAAGACATTCGTGTTGTCGATGCTTCCGCATTTAATTGTACACATTATTTTGATGTATGCAGTATGAACAATGGGGGGTGTTAGTGGATTAGAAACAGAATCGTTAGAGTTATGAATCACAGCCAGCTTAAGGTGCCTTATGGATCAGTAAAATAAGTCGAACTCTGCAAATGCTATCGGGGATTCCCTATCAGAACGTAATTCCCTTATACAGAATGATCGTTAATATCGTGTGTTTCGCGGTGTGCTGCTACCAATTTATGTATGCTTTACTTCCAAGTATGATTTTCCCTTTGTTCCTATTATATGCTTGTTTTACGTTCGTCTTAACACTACCGGAAATGGGTTCCTCCGCGAAACGCTTGTCGATCGTGTTAATTAAAAAGCGGATACCGTGGACAGTGATGGTATCTCACTGATCTTAAAATACAATATTTTGATTGTACGCTATCGAGACACCGATTAATTAACGTGCACTGACGACGGTAGTGATGAGACGACCGCGAGAATGTAATTCGCATTCAAACATGCATTTTGACTGATTTTTATACTCTTTCTTTCTCTCATTATCGTTCACACACACACACACACACACGTACACGCTTCTATCTCTCTCTCTCTTTCTCGATTTTCTTTTGTCCTTCTCTCATGTTCACCGTTAATGGATAAACTATGTACACGGCACGTACATACAAGTTTCTTCTAGAAATAACGTTGTATACCTAAAACTAAGATTGAATTTCGGTAAAGCGTTATTTTATTATACTTTTTTTTTTGTTCATACCATTAACAACAACGTACATGTAAATGAAGTGAATTCTTGGAATATTGAGATTGGATGTTAGTGTTCACCATTCTTTTTTTTTTTGTTTGTTACGTTAGATATTACTATAATATTAGTTTATGTAGTCGTTTTACAATTTACTATTCGTACAGTTCGCATTCGCGCATGGTTGCGGTTTCTCAAGAGCCGATCGAACTTGCACAGCGAGTGCATTAATCGCGAAATGTTTGTCTCTACAAGAGAAGAAAAGAAAATGAATCGAAGAAGAAAAGGCAAAAAGAAATAAGGAAGAAATTAATTCATGAAACAGGGGCCAGAGAGAGGTAACTCGCGCTAGAATTTTCTTGGAAAGAGAACCGATGCGATCTTCCGTTATGAGGATCGCTGGATCACGATCCATGGAATGCAGAACTGAGATTAATTCTAAAGCAAACACCACGCTGAACAAATTTCGAAAGAATTGAAAACGAGGAAGGCACGAGCCGAGTCTACGCACGCGATTCCGAATTTACTTTCCGTGACTTGAAGCTGAAGAGGACTGTGGAGAAAATTGGTTTCCGGTGATCACAAAGATATGGCACAATAGGAAACGATGCAGTTTTCGTTCGAAGAAAGAATCGATTCGATTGTAAGATTTTACCTAGGCTTCGTAATCACTTATGTTCTTTCCTGTCAGTTCTAGCATGGTCTTAGAATTATTTTTGTTAACGCTTCAGCAACCGAAAGTCTGCTAACAGGACTCTCAATGGCTGCTGTTAGTTGACTTGCTGTTGGAGCTTAATCATTTTCTACTAAATAAAAATGCTAATTTTGCCGGTTTAATGAAATAAAAATCCTCAACTATATTACTCGACCAAATTTCTTATTTTTAAGGGATGACCAATGGTCACCGGTAGTAGATCAGCTTTTTTCTAATTATATATAATTTTTTGTAAGCACAGGTATCAAATGAGAGGATATGAGAATGAGAATTGTTTCGAGTCGACCCTTCCTTCGATTTGATGTCAACTAATTAGTCGTCATTGTTTCGCTGGTGGACCGAATACGACTTGAGCTATGGATCAAATGGGATTGAACCGGCTACGAAGAAGAAGGAAAAAAGAAGTGGTCGAATTTCGAGCAGGTGCAGTAGTTTCCAGTGTAAATCTGTGTTTCTGGGAGCGATTTCCTCATCGTTGAACACAAGGTAAGTAAAGTGTCCGATTGCATAAACGACGCGACGCGGAAATTTGAGTATTCGAGCGCGCGAACGACCAACGAACTTCATCAGCGTCGTCGTCGTCTGAACTGGCACGTACAACCTCTATTGCTATGCGTAATAAGGATATTAAAAAAAAAAAAAGAAACAGAAAGAAAAGAGAGAAAAATAATCATAAGAATAGCGATAATAATAGTGCTAAAATTAAAAATGGATGACAGTTAATAATAATATTTAAAGGATAATCGATAGACGTAATAATGACCATGAAAAATAAGAATATGTAAATCGCAAATTTTAACATCGTTAAATCTACGGTGTCCTCGTCTCGGGGGATAATTACATCGGTATAATGTCGCTACGCGGATACATCACAATATAGTTACACTGTACATTAATAGTATCGACACGTTCTCTTGCATCGGGCCGTTCTGATCGGCCAAGTACCGCCGACACAATTGTACAAATCCATGTATATACATAAAATAAATTATTATATCAACATTAAGCTATATCGTGTCTGCCGCCGCGCCGGCCGCGGTACGTTTTTGAACCGAACCGACCCGAAGAAAAACGAGAAAAAAAAAACACGGGCGCAGATGCATCGAGGATACTGGCTCTCTTTATAAAATTATATTAGGTACCTTGTATAGAATTGCACTGATTACAATATATATAAATAACAAAAAGAAACGGTGAAAAAGGAGAGACGTAAAAGTTCATCGTGTTCTCTTCAACGTCGAGCCAACTTCCGCCGCGACCCGGAACCGGATGGCCTTGCTCTTTCAGACACATACTCTCTCTCTCTCTCTCTCTCTCTCTTTCTCTCTCTCTTTTTTTCTTTCTTTCTTTCTCTTTCACACTCTCTTTCTCTCACTCTCGTTCTTTCTCGATCTGCACAGGAGCCGCCACCGGCTCGCGAAAACGCTATTTGGCACATAAATATTATCACATCGAGCTCCCAATCATTGCCGTCCGATTACACACACGCTCCTTCGAATCGCGAGACACTGTACACACGTCGTTATTGCGGTGCCCCTTGTTTTCCCCCTAGCACCGAACCAACATGGTGACCATGTTCAAATGAAGTCTCCCCCAGACTCGACAAGACGGGATCAAACGTAACAGTTGTCCGGACATCCGACAAAACAAAACAGAACAAAACACAACGTCTCGTTAGAATTTGATTGTTCGCGTGTATCCTTTCAATAAATAACGCTAATCCCCCGTAACTTCCCTCTCTTTACAGTAACATTGTACTAAAAACTGACGTCGCGCGTGCCCCTATTCCCTTTGCCCGCATACGGCGCTATTCCTCGCTGTCCTCCGGTCTCCTCTTAGCGAAATTCTTCTCATCGTATTCGCTCTGTCTTAGCGGGCTCTGTTGGTAGGTCTAGATCCCCCCAAGATCTTCCAGAACGATCTCCGGCCACCAAACGATTCCGTCGACACGCTCGTTACAATTAGGGATAGAATAAATTAACGACGAAAATACTATAAGTACTATCGAGTGTTTTTCGATTCCTCTCGCTCTCTGGCCCCTCCCTCGCCCTCCAATTTGGTGCGAATACAGTGATAGCGTGACAATACGGAAAAAATAGACGGTCTGGAGCGGACGCGGGCGTCGGCGCCCCCGGATTGGAAAAGCCGATAGTAAAATCTAGCTTGTTCCGCGCGAATCTCGGCGCCTTCGGAGCCAGAGCTGTGCCCCATGAAGCGATTCGCGGCCACGGCCCGTCCAGACGAACTCGCCCACCACGCCGTCAGATGCGACAGAACGGATCAGCTTCTCTTTTTCTCTCCTCGTCTCTCGCGAACGCACACGCGCGCGCGCACACACATACACACACACTAGAAGGAATAGGAACAAGACTTTTTGGCCGCGCACAGTACCCCGCACATACATGTAGAATACATACATATACGCGTCACGACCGCGATCGTGCCGAGCGGTGTGTTTGAAGCGGCCTCGAGACGCGATCAAGCCGAGTCCGGTCACACTTGACACACATGGCAGTCTTACGAGAAATCAGGTATGTATAATATATATACATATACATATGTACGTATATATGTATATATATGTATATATATATAATGTGCGTGTGTCCGTATATATATATGTATATATTTCGTTTTTTATTCATTTATTTATTTATGTATAATCCTAGGGTCGCGCTTCGTCCGGACATCACCCGCGAGACGCGCGCGTGGATGCACCAGGCGCACCCTTGTATCTAGAAAAGTACCTATCAGACCATATCGTTCGCAGGTTCCGCCGCTGCACTCGCGGCTTTTGATTACACAGAAGAACAGAACGCGTGTCGCCCAATTCTTCCCCGGGAGCTTCCCCAAGTAGCTCGTAGGGATCGGCATGAGTCTCTTCGAGATCGGTCGCGAGCAATGAATTGTCCGAGGGCTACCGACTCGAGGACGTCTTCGAGATCCTCGTGGACCTCGATAGGCGACACAGGGTCCAGGAAGCGGTGCTCCAGTTCGCGGGAGAGCCTCCTCCTCGTCGTACGATGGCACAGTAATGAATCGTTATATCACAACCTCTCGAGCGAGGCTTCTCACTTCTCGAGTTCCTGATGGCGGCTTTGGAGCGCGCCGGTTGTCTCTTCGGGCCTCCCCGTTCCCTGGATGTCCGCGGGGGACCAAATGGGAACCTCGAGGCTGCAGTTACCAGAACAACTCGTGGCCGAGTCTGGATGTTGATGGTGCTGTGGACGATGAAGCTCCGGGCGGCCATGGCGGCTGACCCGGAGCTGCGGTTCAATCCTCGTCGTGGTGCCGCGGACTGGCGTCGTATCCGCCGATCGATCCAGAGTTCTCCGGCGAGAAGTTCATCATGTCCGACGGCGACAGGCTGTCCTGCGGGTAGTAGAACGAAGGGTGGTCCGAGCTGGGACCAGCTGCGCCGCCGTTCAGCATCGTCGCAGGCGGAGAAACCGACGGCCTCGCCGAAGGACCTGCTCCCGAGCCTGGATGATGCTGCGAGCTCATGTCCGAACCAACAGGAGAGAGGAAACCCATTTCCGGGCCGCTGTCCCGACACCAGAGCTGCCTCATTTCCTGTCGCCGCTGCCGCATCAGCGTCTTGTACTCGGAGATCCGCATTTTCTTCCCGTCCACGATGCAGGTACGCTTCGGCCGTGGCCGGTATCTGTAGTCCGGGTGCTTCTCCATGTGCAGCTTCGATAGACGCGACTGCTCCTCGTAGTACGGCTGCTTCTCCGAATTGGACATCGCTTTCCACCTGGCACCTGTAACACGAACGGTCGAGTCAGTTCCAGCGCCGGAAACGATGAGTCTAATTACTACTGGCAGACGATTCTTGCGGATTTTCGAAGTCTTCTACATCGCGCTCAGTTTTTTGAAGAATTAAACCCTACGCATTGTTCGGAGGAATTCGTATACTCGTTTACAAGGCGATCGAGGAGATATCGTATACGCATTTCTTGGCGCGGTAGAACCTCGGTTATCCAAACTACTCGGGAGAGCATGGACAAGATCATTTACTTAACTTTTTAGGTACGGCTGAATTCTGCGCGAGGCTATTTTTCTGGACGGCAGAGTCTGATATGTACTGTACAGAGCGTCTGTATATTCTGTCTGTATATTGTTAAGATACAGTTATATTGTTAAGATAAGTCTGTATATTGTAAACCGATGTGAAGACAAAAGAAGTGTGAAACAATGCATACGAAGACGATTATTTGATTCGAACGATGAGCGAGTGAGCTACTAGAGCAAGCCGCTATAGTGGCGCGTCGTTCAGAGAGATGACATCCGCGGAAGCCACTATAGTGGCGCGTCGTGCCTAAAAGGTTAAATTGATCGTCTTGGTTTGAGCCATTTGCATATTACCCAAGAGGTCTAGATACAGTAGAGATTCTAGTGATAACAGAAAATGGTTAAATTGATATCAATTTGAGGGGGAGTTCGATGATTTGAACGACTATATTATAGTTCTTCCATTGTCCAAGTCGTACTTCTTCATCGAGTGTTGTCCAACACAGACCGTCAAACTGGTAAGACACATCAAGAGTCTCCATGCGGTTGTTACAAAGGAGAAGGCGATGAANTTGTCCGAGGGCTACCGACTCGAGGACGTCTTCGAGATCCTCGTGGACCTCGATAGGCGACACAGGGTCCAGGAAGCGGTGCTCCAGTTCGCGGGAGAGCCTCCTCCTCGTCGTACGATGGCACAGTAATGAATCGTTATATCACAACCTCTCGAGCGAGGCTTCTCACTTCTCGAGTTCCTGATGGCGGCTTTGGAGCGCGCCGGTTGTCTCTTCGGGCCTCCCCGTTCCCTGGATGTCCGCGGGGGACCAAATGGGAACCTCGAGGCTGCAGTTACCAGAACAACTCGTGGCCGAGTCTGGATGTTGATGGTGCTGTGGACGATGAAGCTCCGGGCGGCCATGGCGGCTGACCCGGAGCTGCGGTTCAATCCTCGTCGTGGTGCCGCGGACTGGCGTCGTATCCGCCGATCGATCCAGAGTTCTCCGGCGAGAAGTTCATCATGTCCGACGGCGACAGGCTGTCCTGCGGGTAGTAGAACGAAGGGTGGTCCGAGCTGGGACCAGCTGCGCCGCCGTTCAGCATCGTCGCAGGCGGAGAAACCGACGGCCTCGCCGAAGGACCTGCTCCCGAGCCTGGATGATGCTGCGAGCTCATGTCCGAACCAACAGGAGAGAGGAAACCCATTTCCGGGCCGCTGTCCCGACACCAGAGCTGCCTCATTTCCTGTCGCCGCTGCCGCATCAGCGTCTTGTACTCGGAGATCCGCATTTTCTTCCCGTCCACGATGCAGGTACGCTTCGGCCGTGGCCGGTATCTGTAGTCCGGGTGCTTCTCCATGTGCAGCTTCGATAGACGCGACTGCTCCTCGTAGTACGGCTGCTTCTCCGAATTGGACATCGCTTTCCACCTGGCACCTGTAACACGAACGGTCGAGTCAGTTCCAGCGCCGGAAACGATGAGTCTAATTACTACTGGCAGACGATTCTTGCGGATTTTCGAAGTCTTCTACATCGCGCTCAGTTTTTTGAAGAATTAAACCCTACGCATTGTTCGGAGGAATTCGTATACTCGTTTACAAGGCGATCGAGGAGATATCGTATACGCATTTCTTGGCGCGGTAGAACCTCGGTTATCCAAACTACTCGGGAGAGCATGGACAAGATCATTTACTTAACTTTTTAGGTACGGCTGAATTCTGCGCGAGGCTATTTTTCTGGACGGCAGAGTCTGATATGTACTGTACAGAGCGTCTGTATATTCTGTCTGTATATTGTTAAGATACAGTTATATTGTTAAGATAAGTCTGTATATTGTAAACCGATGTGAAGACAAAAGAAGTGTGAAACAATGCATACGAAGACGATTATTTGATTCGAACGATGAGCGAGTGAGCTACTAGAGCAAGCCGCTATAGTGGCGCGTCGTTCAGAGAGATGACATCCGCGGAAGCCACTATAGTGGCGCGTCGTGCCTAAAAGGTTAAATTGATCGTCTTGGTTTGAGCCATTTGCATATTACCCAAGAGGTCTAGATACAGTAGAGATTCTAGTGATAACAGAAAATGGTTAAATTGATATCAATTTGAGGGGGAGTTCGATGATTTGAACGACTATATTATAGTTCTTCCATTGTCCAAGTCGTACTTCTTCATCGAGTGTTGTCCAACACAGACCGTCAAACTGGTAAGACACATCAAGAGTCTCCATGCGGTTGTTACAAAGGAGAAGGCGATGAAGACGATTTCTCACACTTACCGAGTATTTTGGATATGTTGGAGTTATGCATATCCGGGCATGCTTTCAATATTTTCCTCCGCTCGTCCTTGGCCCACACCATGAACGCGTTCATAGGCCGCTTGATATGTGGTTTGTTCTCGCTCTCCCTTTTCTGCTGTCTCACCATTTTCGCTAAACAGACAGAGGAGAAACGTTAGCGACGCTCCCCGTGAGAAGCGAATCCGATTTCCGCGAGCATCGGCCGGCGCTCGGCGAACAAAAGCGGTAACGTCAGCCCGACGGTCACGAGACATGCTTACCTTTTTCCGTTATGTCTTCCGGTACCTTGTAACCCGGCTCCCGCCACACTGTAATTTCAGAATATCGTGGTTCGTTAGAAATTTCGCATGGACACGTCCGACGATTAGAAACTAGCACGCTCTTTTGCTTACAGGGTGCGTTAAAATAACGAAGTACAAACGAACTGCCTCGGTACCCAGCTCCCTTCCGTCCGGAACTATAATTTCCAATGTCGCCTCGATCCAATCGACTATAATTCTATTCGGGCTTCCGAAGGCTAAGCCAACAAATTTGGAAACGCCGAAGCAGGAGCGACGGCGATCAGCGTTGCGATGAATTTCGAACACGCGGTGTTCTAAATTGCTTGGACTTTGTGAGATTTTCTGGCAGTCGACGAGATCAACGTGAAAGCACGCGAGACTTCGTTATTTCGACGCAACGGGTCCATCGAGCAGCAAGAGCCTCTAGCCGAAAACGATTCTGGACGAGCGGACGGAAGAAAGGGGGTTCGGCCTGAAGAAATTATCGGGGAACGATCGGAACGCGGCGCGTATTAAATGGAAGATCGCTCGTTAAGAATTTATATAGAGAACTGGTTACGGCGGACGGGTGAAGAAACGCGACTCGTTCGGGTTTACAGTTAACTCGAAGGCGACTCGAACGGCCAACCACCGCGTCGATCAGGGACAATAAGAAGAGAGGAAGATGGGAAAGGAGAAAATAATGTATTTACTGTGAGGCGTCGGAAGATAGTCTTGCTCCTCCTGCGAAGCCTCCTCCCGGGAACCAGAATGCTTGATCGGTCGTTGAGTTTGAGGTGACGGCGGCATCGCACCTGCGCTCGGCGGCAGACCATAAATCCCGTGCATCGCGAAATGCTTCTCGACAGCCGCGACCGCTGCAGCAGCCACTGATCCGCCTGGTCCAACGGACTCGTCTTTGGCCATCACCTTGCCCACTGAAATCACGCATACGCATTGACAGTGAAATCGGTATGCACCTGTCGAACAGTTATGGAATGCGCGACACAGACTGTTTGATCATTTGCGACCTGACCTGTGATCGATCAAACGATAGATCAAACGTTGAGAGTCCGTAACGATCTCGAAGCTCGCGCAACCTTCGTCGACTGTGATCATGGTCTTTGTTCCAATTTTTAAATTACCGAACCTTTATCGGACTGTGGAGAATAAAATGGAAAATAAATTTGGGAAATTTATTTATCTTCTTTATGGAAAATAAAATTTGCCTGCATCTAGTGCAAGGTATAGGAGCCAAGTGGAGTATTGTTTCTTTCTTAAATAATGGATTATCTAAGGAAAAGTTCTATCTTAAATAAAAGTTCAAATTAATATACCAATACGACATAATCTTTTCACTGTTTTAAATTTGATTTGCCCATCTTTGCCATAAATGCATAAGCTCCACAGTACTTATTACAGTTATCACAATTCAAGTAAAAAGCAACAACGTGGTAACGTTCCAATGTCTAGATACAGTTCGGACTAATGAAAAGAATGTGGTAACAAATTGCCTGCATTTATCAGAATGTGTTGGTTCCATTTGAAATACAAGAAACATTGAGAAAGTTGGGGAATATTGATATACTACTTTCACGTCATTGAAGTTATTAAAGGGAGAAAGACGTTTCCTGTTTCTTGTAAACGATGCATCAGATTTCTATGTTGCACAGAGATCAGCAGTCTGGTTATCAGGTTCGTTAGATGGATTAGAGGTAACGCTAACGACGTAGTAAATGCAGCAGATGCTCATTTATATAATGGTGTCGACCAAGTATGTAAAGTAGTTTTGTGTACAATCGAACCAGCACTATTCGATCGAACCAGCATTAATCGATTTAAAGTGTTCGTGCAGATAATTCAGTCTGAGTTGATCCATACAGTGTACAAATCGGTAGAGATTTAACGTAACACTTCGATTTCAGCTTGAAGCAACTCTTCTATTATCTGAAAGTACAGCTGCGGTTCTACGGTATCTTTAAACAAGGTACAGTAATGTCTCTCTAATTGACGCTCAGATTGTCCACAAAAATGGACAATTTGGGAAGAGGAGATACGATTATTCGAGTCTTGCGGTTCGTTTTTATAGTTACGAATTGTCAACAACTATAAGAACGAGTTGCAGGGCTCAAATAATCGTATCTCCTGTTCCCATATTGTCCATTTTTGTGGACAATCTGAGCGTCGGTTAGGGAAACATTACTGTATTAACAGATTGTATAGCACGGTGACACGAATGGATGTGCAGTAATGACATGGACCGATGATCGTGCGACTCCGCTGGCTCTGCGGACATTACAATGACAGGGAGGCTTTCCACGAACTTGTTTTTTCGTCGGGATCCGCGGACACCGGATCCTTATCTTGGCATCGCGTTACGCGTCGTTGATTGTGCTCTTATAACTGGACAGGCAAAAAGCCGGACACGACGGAGGAACAGGTTTTGCTATAGCATAACGCGAGGCGAGGAAAAAACGCGGCGGACAATCGGGCAAACGCACGCGTTCGCCAAGATAATTAACCGTTTGTGTCAGATATCCGGTCCCCCGTGTATTCTATGGCCTATTGATCGGATTTTTCGTTCGGTTTTAACGGCGCCGCCGGTTGTCGCCCGAAAAGGCCACGACGCTCCCGTTCAATGCCCGCCAATATTCCGTTTTTCCATTCGGCGGATTGGAATTCCTCGCGAGATCGCTCGATTATTATTAAAATTATTACAATTTCTGCGAATGCCCGATGCAACCGGTTACCACGGCCCGCACGGTTCCATGGAAACTGTACTCGCCAGCAATCTATGGATCGGAATGATATTTTACCTAACAGTTGAACTCTAACGCCCATTTATTTCGAACGACAATTAATTAACCGCGACGTTTAATCGGCGCGCATGGTGTTAAATCGTGTCCCGGCTCCGGTGAACCATTGCGAACCGGTGATTTTCGACGGGATCGATTCATGCGAGCCATTTTGTTCTAAAAATCAATTATCCCGGTGTAATGGATCGATCGAGATTCTAATCCTGATCCGACGACTGTTCATTTATTTTCTACCCCGGGGACTTTATCGCTGTACTCATTAGTATTCTACGCCATGGATCGGCTACCGCTTCCAGGGTTCTGGTGTGTACGTGTGCGTGTGTATGTGCGTCGCGGAAATTAGCATTTGAAACACTGGAAAACCGTGGCAGTTATGCTCGTCAAAATTGCCCTGTTATGCGAAATTACGCAAAACTTTTTCCCATAGCTGGAGGCACTGGTTTTTACCGATGAAACGTTTGCCTTTTTGTCCCTGTTGAATTTATATTGGCTCTCTTTCTTCTTCTTCTTAAAACATCTTCGCAAATGCGTTGACATAAACAGCTATGTTTTTATAAACACCTTCAATTAGCATATTTCCTTCAGAAGAGAGAGATTGTTTATTGTACTATGTACTTGGTTCATATTCTCTAAATTATTATTATTCTTTAAGGTGTTACATTTTAACGCTTTGCGCTCGAGTGACGACTCCAAGGCGCCACTGAAAATTGTCATGTCATGTTTCAAAATAATTTCATTGATCAAATTTGTTTATATTCTGAAGGACTGTTAAAAGCGTAAACTGTTGCATTAGTCGTAAAATTCAATTTCGTATGTATAAAATGCGCTAGGTCATATGAAATGGAAATACTGTAGGTTCGAAAAATTATTTTAAATGTTGCGTTAATTTGGCTTCGAGTGCAAAGGGTTAAAAGTGCAGAGACCAACGCATCTCTGAAAATGTACACCCTTCGATTTAATATTCCTCAAATCTGTTAAATGAATGCACTTTGCTAGTTTAGACGTGTGTTCATACAATTGCACCGTACAAAAGAAGTCAAAGAATTTTAATATCTTGCAGGTGGCCAGAAGAGACTCTGAGGACACGAGCTCTCAACCAGAAGAGAGGCGATGGTACAAGACTAGAACCGCAGTTCTCAACCAAGTAAGTTATACCGAATGAACCATCGCCGATCCAAGACATCTTCATGGCTGACCTTCGACTTAGCAGAACGGGAGGCAAAGTCGAGATCAGAAGATCGCCACCTTAGGAGGCTACAAGTGAAAATAGCTTAGAAAAGGAGTCCTTGGGGGCTAAAGACGAAGGGTCGGGAAGTTCTACTTACTCGGAGAGGATAGGGAGCTAAGATGAGGCGGCAAACCAGCATAGGGCAACGTCGTCAAGTAGTTCCTCGGCATCGGTAGTCCCGGCGGGAAGAGTTTCGGAGCCGTCGCCGCCAAAGGCTGCTCCTGCTGACCACTGCTTCCGGCCCCGGTCGAATGGGAATCGCTTCCGGGCGACGACGAAGACGCCGTGGCCCCCGAAGACGAGGACTTCGGCTTGGTGAGGTTCAGGGGCGCGTCGAGGTCCTGAAGAGGCGGCGCGGTGGGTGCGACCGCCGATGAGATTGGCGTCGGCGACGGTTCCTTCTCCATCTGCGTGGTCATCTGCGCCAGATGCGCCGTCGCCCAGCTCGGACCTTCCCGGTGGCTGCTGATCATCTGCAAGACGTCGGTCGTAGCGAGTCAGCATCGTGTATTTTTCGCGGCCCTCACCTCCGCCCGTTATTTTCGCGCGGCCGTGAATTAGCCGGCTCGCGACAAATTGCCACGGTGGCATCGCGCTATCAAAACCTTGCTGCCCGGGGAATTACACGGCGATCGTAGTTATTTTCGGGACACGCTTTGATCGAGATTAACAGATCAGCTTGATCTCTTCGGGACACGCTCGTCGCGACTGGCTTCGGGGAACAATAGGTGAATGTACACGCGTCGCTTCGAAGACTATAACAGTAGGAAGACGACGATCGTTTCGGAATAAGTCGAAGACCAATGGAAAATGAACGAGAATGGACCTATCTTTTGCAACGGCACAATTGTCGATGCTCAGAATCATTCGCGCTTTAATGCATTAATTTGTTGTAACTCTTGCCACTGGACGGAAATTAAAGAAATATAAATTATTTGTTTTAATAATTTTAATACGTGACAGCTAGTGTAATTATTAAATTCATTCGATGTCTTCAGAATTTTATATTTCAACTGTACTCAGTTTTACCATAAATGCATAAAATCCGAGGTCTACTTGTTGCTATAACTTATTCTTGAGGCTTATGTTCACGAGTTTAATATCAGCCATATCTGATAGACATACTTGGAACGGTAAGGCTTGATATATTTTTCGTCGTTTTTTGATCCATTGGTCTTTTCCTGGTTCTTGATCCCTTACAAATAGTATTTCTTGGAAGTAATGAATAACGTTCATATTTAGCAAATTATGTGGAGACTCGTTATAGTGCAAGGGGTTAGTGCAACAGCTCATTCGTCCAACTTAATCGCCAGAAATTGAATCACCGAATCATGATCTTGATACTCTGGGTCAAAAGGTCAATAGAAGGGTTGGTTAACCGATGTTCCAATTGGTTGTCCGAATATTATCGTTACATACAACCGGATTTCAACCCTTTCAGCGACTCGAAAGTTTCACCCTGACCTTCGTAGGTCTTTCATATATTTATGGCCAGTATCGATTTCATTTCAAGTTCATTTTAAGATAAGCATTTGCGTTAAAATTACGCCGCTATAATCAATTTCAATTGTCTAGTTTCGGTTGCGCTAATTGAATTACTTCGATTCGGTGCGAATTTGCACGGAGGGGCGGCGGTAGCGGAAAATTGGGATTGATTTACGTACGTTTGCGATCGAATTGATATGTTTGTTGGTAGTGGCGGTGGAGGTAGCCGACGGCGGCGGCATAGGCGATTGCACGGCCACCCCTCGGAGCTGTTCGAGAAACGGCAGGAACATCAAGGACTGCGGCCCCGACATGCTCAGCTGGCTCTTTGTCATCTGAGCCCGTAACTCCTGGATGTTGTGCTGCATGATGTGCTCTTGCTGCCGCTTCAAGTGCTCCGTTTGCAGCCGCTGCATCTCGATCTGCTTCTGCGAGTCGACGGTCATGTGCGCGGAATACGACTGTAAAGGTAAGTACAGCAATTAGAGAGACACAATTTCTAGTCCTTATCAGGGAGAATGAACGGTTTTTCTGTAGCGTTTCGTTCGAAACGCGCAGTGGTTTTTTTTCCAATTCGAAAGGGTAGAAAGTATCGCGGCAGCGGGATTATGTGACAGAATTTGAGCGAATTTTGAGGACACCATAAAATTAGGTTTTCCAATATTTCGAGCAAAAAGATTTCGAGACGACAGTTGAAACGATCGTTGAGAAACGCGTGTTTCTATGCTAAATAAAGCAGCGAACGCCCGAGACTTCTGCTCCGAGTAATCGTGCAAATTCGAACGATTTAGCAACGTTTAAAAATTTTTGTTCGGATTTCACATTAAGCGACTTTGTTGGCAGCAGAATCCTCCTTACAACGAGCTCTGAAACATCGGTCTACTATTTTTTGTCGCCGTTTTATCGCACGATGAGTGACAAATGCTCTCTGCTCTGCTCTCTAACTTTCTAACAGTTTCTTTGCAAATCGATAGCGTTTCTAGAAATATTTTGTCGAAGACTTGTTATAAACTCGTGATGCAACGATCAATATATTTTACATTCGAAAGCCGATTAGTCTCTGTTTGAACCAGCGCGCGTCGTTTCTATTCAAGCATAATTTCCGAAGATCGAGATTAGATTAGCGTTCTCTCGGAACGAAATATCGCAGCCGCGATTCGAATCGAGAGTCGGCGGAATAATTTCTGCCGAAGATCGCGCTAAAAAGTAGACTTTCATAGGCAGGACCGACCCTCCCGGCTTCCAGGACCCTTGCCAGAACCAGTTTTGAATTATGCTCGACGAGAGAATGTAATAAAAGGCGAGCGAGCGAGCGACGAGATTAACTTTAATTGCCGGTTTTAACGCGTCGAACGGAAGCGATCAGCGACCGGGAAAGTGAGAGATGCAAAAACGACTGTTATTGCTATAAAGTGATAACGACTGGCTGAAAGAACTCTAGCCTCTAATCACTCGCGCAATAATTACGGCGCCTGGCTAGTCGATACTCGCATTCAGATGCGCCAGATAGCATCGTCGAACGCGATTCCGACTGTCGGTTTTGAACACACCGCCTAGGACGATCGTTCAACGAGAGAGCCAGTCCTTCCTTTCCCTTGTGGAATCCTTCTTAGTCCTTAGAGAAACGCAGATAGCGCGGAACGACGCGTGGTAGTCTCGTTGCTTGCCAGGATTACCAAGATTCCGAGCGTTTCACGTGCCTGCGCGCGTTAATTTCCTCGTTAATAGGTTACCCACGCTCCGGCGCAATCATACCACGAAATGGAATAATAACTGACGCATTGTTCCGACGATTTGCATTCAATGCCCGTGAAAAACTGCATTGTGCACGTCGGACACGATGTTTACAATCACGTACAAAATGCTCGTTGCGTAATATCGGAGAACCCAGAGGCCGGAGTACTGAACCTGATCCTCTGAAATCATTTCTTTTACGTTCAAAGGATAATTACACGGCATCGCTTAATTTATTAACATTCTTATCTCTTGCGAATCTTAACCCCTTGCTGTACTTTGACGAGAGTGACTAGTGACGGAGATTTCTAGTAATAATCTGTCAGGCGTGAATTCTGATTTCTCGTCGTCGATATTTACAGATTCGAGCAAATGTTAGACAGGCTATACCTAAAAATTGTTTTTCCTTCTCAGAAATCATTACAATCGAGAAACTTCTAATCGTTGTAACTATGACGAAAATGATACGACAAGGGGTTGCTAAAATTACGAAATTTTAACGGATCAGGGTAAAAAGTAGTTTTTAAATCATTCTGTCACCCACATAAGGGCAACGCGGCAGTCAAAGTGTTAATGGTATAATTATGATGCACTCTTTCAATAGCGCAATTATGACATATTTCATTAATAATATAAATAGGCTAAATTTGATTAATAATATTGGGTCTGGGAAAAAGTTCGTGGCGTTTTGTTAGTAAAATTCAACTGGATTTCTTATATTGTGACCACCACTTTTTTTTTTTGCACGCTCAAAATTACGTTTTGTAATCGTGTCATCTTTAAATGAAGCGTTTAGTGGTATCGTTGCAATAAGTTGTTCGCGAGTTATTAACAATCGACGACATCTATCGGGAAAACGCCACGAACTTTTTCCCAGACCCGATAGAATCATGATACTTTTTTCTAAAACTGCGCCGATTTTTATAATTGACATTTTCGCGATGTGAACGTGACCCGGCCGTCGAAGAGTTAACACAGACAAGTTCCATTTGAGAATGAGCTCGCGGACGAAGTTCGAAGCTGGGTCCAGGAGATAAAGAAGCGACAATCGATACCAGTTAGGCTGGTTCGAGCAACCCTACGGCGAGGGTGCAGCCGTTGATGTTTGTTTCCTCGGTTAAATTAGGTCGTGGACGGGCCCCATGAGGAAGCCACTGTGTCTTCGTCAGGGCGGCGGACTTCTTTTCCAGCACGGGCCATTAGTTAGAGCAAGTAGCCGCGGTACTAATTCAAGGGGACGGGTTTTCAACGGCTCGGCTCCGGCTCTAAGATAGTGTAACAATTCAACAGGGCTAATATCATTGTACTTTCCTACGACCTGGCTGCGGTCCAGATATGCTTGAAGTTTAAAATCTATTTTGGACGATAAGGAAGACGTTTATTCATCCAGCCTGGGCACCAGCTGAAACGTCACGAGGCACACGCGCCTCTCTCCTTCGGCCTCTCTTCTCCCTTGCTCTCGGCCTTTCCGCGACCGACCGAGATTATTAATTCCCGATGCTCGATGGAAGATCGCGACGCGTGATTTACGGCCCCGAGCCTATCCGGAGGTTCCTCTAATAACGGGCCCACCGCAAGAACAGAACGAACAAGTGGACTCCGCCGACCGGCTCTTGCTGTTTGCTTGCTCGATGAAAGGCCTGCCACCTTTCATCTTCCATTGCCTTTCTCGCGAAAACAGATCGTGCGGTCGACGAAACGACGAGAGTATTTTGGAACACCGTTCTGGCCCCAGGCAAAAGTGTTTCATTGTCTTACGCGGTGTGTTCTTTCTGGCCTCTGGGATATGTACACCTCCTGTACAACCTTCAACGATTCTCTTAACCCTTTGCACCCGAAGCTGCTTTAATTATATTTTAAACATATTTTCTGATCTACAGTGTTTCTATTTTATATGATTTATTGCGATTCATGCGTGTGAAAGCCTATCGGCAAGTACGAAACTTGAAATTTTAACAGTTTTTTGATATAAACGAGTCTGATACTATTGCAGTTATTTTGAAATATAGTATAGCAATTTTTAGTGGCGCCTCGGAGTCGTCCCTCGAGCGCAAAGGGTTAACAGTCGAACGTTCTACAAAAAGGGAATACAGTAATGTCTCTCTAATTGACGCTCGGATTGTCCACAAAAATGGACCATTTTGGGAAGAGGAGATACGATAATTCGAGCCTTGTAGTTCGTTTTTATAGTTACGAATTGTTAACAATGATCAAATTGTTCATTTTTCTGCACGATCTGAGCGTCAGTTAGAGAGACATTACTGTAGCTCTTCTGTCGCATTGAAACAAATTGCTTAAAATTTTACGAGAAGATAGAGAGATCATTGAACTTCTTTTAATGTTTACAGTAAATATTATTCTGGTCTGGTAGGTTTGGAATCTCGTGCAAGTCCTGTTTCTATTGGCAAAAGGCTGAATCAAGTGCTGATGCAATCAAGACTGATTCATTAAATATACCATATACGAGATACTAAAATTGTAAATGATAATTGTAAATTCTATTTTTCTTCGAGACGACAGTTTAGCTATTGTATTTATTCTTGGGCTTATCGTTGACATCAAAAGGAGCTCGATAAAAGAAATTACTAAACCGTCGATTTTCTACTATTCGAAAATCAAGATTTCCAGCTATTCACGATCGAAGTTTTCTTTAAAGACTGATCATTACTGTTATATCGATGATTAACCCTTTGCACTCGAAGCTATTTTAACTGTAAATATAAAATCATTTTTCTAACTTATAGTATTTTTATTTTATATAATAAAACGCATTTTATGCATACGAAATTGACTCTTGGGGCTCACGCAACGGTTACATACTTAACAATTTTTTAAATCTAAACTTTGTTAATATAAAAATTATCTTAAAACGTGATGTAAGGAATTTTAGCGGTGCCTCTGAGTCACCACTCGGGTACAAAGGGTTAAAAGAACAGAAATCGTATTATCTGCGATTCGACAGTGCAAACAATTTTCCAAATTACAACCAGATGTTTCATTCTCTCGAACGCAAATTAGTGCCGGAACATGTGAATTCTTTTCGTCGGCGGTTTTACAAAAAATGGACGGATCCCAAGGAGCGTCGAAGGCGAGCAACGCGAGACAAAACGGATCGATATCCTTCGATTAAAGCAGCATTGTTCCTCGGACATATCCTCCGCGCCTTCCGCGGCATCGCGACCGTATCAGATCGACTCGCATATTAAAAGCGACTCTGTATGGAAATCTACTCGTTAGCGTTAATTATTCTCGTCGGGTTCTAATTGCCGGGATCTCGGTCGTTCCGCGCACCGCGGGCAACAACGCGATAATTCTGTAAAGATCGTGGAAGAGAACCAGGTAATTAATTATTCCCGCTTGTTTTTTCCACTCGGGTCTTCTCTCCCCTTTGTCCGGCGAACGTTGTCATTTCCTTCACGCGGGAAACAAGCTTGCACGGGATTTCATTCTTCAAAATGTATAAAATTATACCCGTTTATTCAATCTTCTTCTTGCATTAATTCGCATTAACGATGTTAGCCTCCTGGTTGCATAATGCGATTTGTCTTAATGCGCTCTCGCGGCGCAATTACTTCTAAATATTTTAACGATCGTGTCTGGTACGATGATTACGGAAAAAGTTTGTTCGACAGCCCCTAAAATTCCATCGTGTGATATCGAGAATTGTATTTAATGGAATTACAATGGTTTTGGTATTGAAGATTTTGTTGCGTCAAAGATAGAGAAT